CCAATTGGGTGAAAAAACCAGCGAGGAGGATCATGGGCGTGGGAGCAAATTGTCATTTCAAATTTGCACCAATGGGTTAAAGTTTAAAAGTGCAGTCAACCAAAGCTGCTAGTCACGTTGACTTGTTCAAAGAAGACCAGAACAACGTCAAGCAGTGAGTTTCCAGGAAGCTATAGTATTGGACTTGCCAGAACAGAATAATCCTAAGACGTAAGCACTACACCAAACTAAAAACAAATTGTTTTGCATAGATAATCCATACCTCGACCCGGACCTTCATCTGGACCTTCATCCGGACCTTCATCCGGACCTGGACCTGGAGGATGCTGGCATGACGCTGTTTGTAGATACTGATCTGAACTCGAATTGATTTCGCATTTCCCACCAAAGTTCTCACATTGAGGACAGAAAACCGCACTACTGTTGCACTCCACATCAAACCAAAACGGTCTCAAAGTATCAACCAATGTCAATTCCCTCTCCTGGACTTTGTTGAAAACCGTCTGATTAACCGCAACGCTCACATTGCTGCACTTGTAACGATGACCCATCTCAATTTCCTTCCAATCAGGGACGAAGAAGGGTTTGTTGGGGCTGCAATCAGCACTCGTATTACCCGGCGGTAGCGATAGCCCATCAGGTGGATTACAGTTATAGAACAGAGTGAGGTTTTTGTTGGTTTCAGAGAATTTGAAGAAAGGAGGCAGTAGAGTTCCTTGTTGTGTTATCTCGGTGCAAATAAATGCCTCTAATTTCGTTGGAGCAATCGTCAATTTGTTGTAATCTGATGGGTTTACGTACTGCAGGAAGAATGAACTATTTGGGCCAAAGTCTATTGTGGGAACCCCTTCGCAGTCTTTCAAGTAGAATCCAACCGGACGACAATGCTCCGGAGTATTGCCGTTCCAAAAGGGATAGTAAAAGGTTCCATAGCTGCCGCACTCGAGGGAAGGAGAACGGCTGCACTCGACGAAATCATCCAAGGGATCACTGTATGATGGTGGGAGAAAGGACAAGATGGAAAAGATGGTGATGATGCACACAAAAGTGGATGAAAAAATGGGTTGAGGAAGCATTTCCATTTGTGGGAGTTATGGAGGAAAACTAGAAAGGAATTGGTAGGAGACGATGAGATGGGTTTATTTGTTTCGAGTTAAAGAGATTTTTGCATAAAGCCAAATGGAAGGTCTTGGTCAATGTCATCCCTCCTTTTCCTCTGATAATAATAGTACTATTATAATGTGAAAACTTAAAAGCTACCTAGAATATTAAAACTTGACCAAGAAATTAAGAAAGACAGCGAGCTTCATAGAATTTTCAATGTACAATTATCTTTCTTGTCAGAGGAAGAAAGATAACAATTTGATTTAGAAGTTTGACCTACCTCTATGACTATGAAGGATGAAACTGCCAAGAAATAGCATCTGCAGAATACAGAGAACACCGTTCAAAGTCTAAGAATTGCAATAGAATTCTAATATTGCCTCAAATTCTGTTTTACAAACCTATTGATACAACCAAAACTCGAACTCGAATTAAGTCTGTCTATCTAGTTCAAGAAAAAACATTCACCAGTTAATAACTTGAACTAGAATTAAAACCCACCTAACTAGTCAAATCCTAAGATTATGAAGGTAAGTTGAGTTTTAAATGTCAAAATTTTGAATTTCCTAAGTTAGAACAGTTCCTTTAGGATGTTTAAGATCAAGAATCATAGAGAGGAAAACAATGAAGAGAAACATCATGTTAATGTGAAAAGAATAAACATGCGTACCAGGTTTGAGACATATTCGAGGGTAAGATCGGTCGGGGCAGTGGCATAAGAACTCAAGCGATGTAATGTTTGATTCACATCTCCCACCTGAATTCTGGCAGGCAGAACAGTATGGCATATACTGCTGATAATCATCATCATCATCATTACAGTAAGCTAGGGGGGTACAAATCAAGAGGATGAAGATGGTAATGAAAATATAGTGGAGGAAAAAGTAGGCCTCCATTTGAGGTGGATATCATGAAGAGAAGAAATGGTAAAAGGACGATGGCAGTGGAGGGGGATTGTTATTAGATTGTCAAAGAAATAGAAGCAATGGTGCGGTTTTATATATTTGTTGCTTGATGTAACAGGCTACTTGTTTTGAGAAAGAAAGAAAATTTCAAATTATTAGAATTTTCAGCTGCGCAAGATACAGAAAATGGTTGACTTCAATCATGATTTAGAAATTTTCAAATTATTAGAATTTTCATCTGTGCAAGATGATTCATAATTTTCAAATCTAAGGAGCAGGCAGGAACCTTCAAAGAGAATGAATGTCCCTCCCAAGTATAAAAAATTCATCAGTATAAGGTGGGATGCTGCCTCAATCTAACCAGCCTCAGTTTAACCAATAATAACTTGATACAATATTAAAAGTTTTAGCTTATATATTTGTTAGACATTATCTGTGTTATACCATAAAATTTTGCATATTATGTTGCAAATTTCACGTTGATAGTCATTATATAAAAGAAAAAATATTTTGTTCAATCAAACACACACAGTCACACAGATCACTTAGTTTTATGGGATGAATTATGAAAAATAGTTGAGTGATAAATTATTTATAATTTTATAATATTATTTAATAATTAATTTTTGTTATAAAAATATTAATAATATTATATACATTGAATTATTTAAATATGAAAAAATTATATAAAAAAAGCAGTGTTGCAAAAATTTTCTTCCTTGTTCAAAGGGTTCAAACTTCAAAGCTAAACATGGATTCAAAAATCTTGTAACGATGACAAAATTCAGTGGATTTCTGATGTGATTAATGGGGTTTGGATATCGGAGGGTTGTGAGATCAAACCCAAGAGAACACGTTATTCGGGTTTGAATGATTTAAAGATTTTTTCTTTTTTATGGACCTACCTCAAGAGTCGTGGGTTCAATTTATTCGATTTTAAAGTCAGGAGCTTTTCTGTTTCTTTTGATTTAGAATCGATTGGAGAGAAACGCAATCAATAATTGGAACACTAACACCAAGATACACAACCTATAAATATTCGATTGATCTCAGAGATCTGTGTGAAAGTATGCTTTTGGTTTCAAAGTAAGTCTGCTAAATTTAGTGGTTTTGGATGGTGGATTAATTTTTGTTGGGCTACGTGTTTTTGGTATGGGATTGCTATCCTTGTATCTTTGATTTTGGTGAATCGTGGGAAGATTAGATTTTCCTTTGGTCATGCACATCAAGTGCTCAATCAAATGCCTGTGTGGGGTTTATGGGTTTTGATGACATAAGGGGTTGTGACAGGGGTTTTACAATACAAGTATGAGGTGTTCTGTGAGGGTGAGATGTCAAATGCATTACAATTGGAGGATCTTTGGTGTTGTATCAAAATTTAGATTTTTGTTAGCAAGGACAGCAATAAAGAGGCACGAAGGGGCAGCATCAGTAACAGGAGTCTATGCCAGACTAATTATGCACAACAACAATACCAGGTTCACCCTCCAGTTAAGGTTTATTGCATTGTTATGTGTTGTTATGCGCTGAAATGGGAGACTAATTGTTTATAAAATGTAGCAGGGGAATGCTCCATCATGTCTTGTTCTCTGGTATTGACCTCGACAGTTTTTGTTTTGATGGTCCTTTGCTTTACTTTGAGGTGTGAATTTTATTTGTATTATGAATTTAGCTACTCTTGTACTCATTTAATAAAATTATTGAATTTCTAAAAAAGAAAATAATAATAATAGGCAGATATCCTAATGTTTAAGAATTTATGCAAGCCTCTCCTATTATTTATTTCATTCGCATGATGTAATTCGAATTTAAAATATTTTATTTCTAATGAAAAAAAATTATTACTAAATTATTTAGATTATTGGTAACCAACATCAAAAAATATATATATATATATATATAATATATTAGAATCATAATAGAAGCATTAGGTTTTGTACATTAAAATGGGTGAAGAAGGGGATTTGTGAAAAAAAAGCAAAGAAAGTGTTGTTATTATATAACTTATTATCAAATAAACTAGGAAAGAGTTTAATTATTTTGATACTACTTATCTTTACCCTCTGAGATCGAATCAAGGTTGAATTCTAAGGTCTTGTTTACGGCTGAACCTTTGGCCTAGGCCTAGCTTGAAATTACAGTTCTTAGGTCTCAGCAGCCTTGACCTAGGTTGACAATCTAGTCGGAATAAGTTGACGCCACACCCTTGATGTCCAACCTCAAGGCTAAACCAGGGATGGCATTATGGCAATGGGATGAGGCAGTGGCTAATCCCTGCACCCTCCAAGGTAGGATTGCAAACGAGACAAACCATTGACAAGAATATTTAAAAAGACAACATAAATTACAATATTCTCATATAATAATCTAAATTTAATAACGAGTTTTAATTTAAGTTAGATAATGCAGTTGATTAAATTACTACGTTCCATGTCAAACACAAAAATTTAACCATGTCACTTGAATCAAACTCGAAGTCAAGGCAAGCTTCAAGCTTGAACTCGCGAAAGCTTCTGCGAGCAAGCCTACTCAATGCACAAGTTCCCTTGAGCAACCCGTGCCAAGCTACCTAAGGCATAAGTTCTCTCAAGGAACCCGTTCCTACTTCCTAGCCTAGTACTCAAGGCATAAGTTCCCTCAAGCAACCCGTGCCCCAAACGACTTTTTGTAGGTTTTTTTTTTTTTTCTTCTAAAAAAGATTGTAGTTTCAATTTTCATTCACTTGGAGGGAGAACTGAGAAGCACTTACTCCCTCAGTCATCTCTGCTCCAGCCAATTTTACTAGGTCGCTACCCAAATGGGTGAAAAAAACCAGCGAGGAGGATCCTGGCCGTGGGGGCAAATTGTCATCTCAAATTTGCACCAATGGGTTAAGTTTAAAAGTCCAGTCAACCAAGGCTGCTAGTCACGTTGACTTGTTCAAAGTACACCAGAACAATGTCAAGCAGTGAGTTTCCAGGAAGTTATAGTATAGACTCAATTGTGTATTGAATGCGAATTGCCAGAACAGAATAATCCTAAGCCGTAAGCACTACACCAAATTAAAAACAAACGATTTTGCATAGGTAATCCATACCTGGACCTGGAGCTGAACGACGCTGGTAAAATTTTGTATTTGGAGGCTGAGCTAAACTCTGACATATCTCATCCAACCTCGGCCCTTTATTACATAAAAACGCACTACTGTTGAACACCCCATCAAACCAATCTCCCAAAGCAGCAAGCAATGTCAGTTCCCTCTTCTGGACTTCGGTGAAAGCCGTCTGATTAACCGTAACTTCCACAGTACTGCAATTGGAATGATTATACCTCTCAGGTTCTGAATCATTCATGTGGAGGGCTGTGTTGTTGTCATTGGGTTCGCAATCAGGAATCGGAAATGGATTACAGTTATAGAACAAAGGGAGGCTTTTGTTGGGTTCGGAGAATTTCAATAAAGGGAGCAGCCAAATTTTGTTTTGTGGTGTCTCGGGACAAATAAATGCCTCGAAATTCATTGAAGCAATCGTCAATGTGTAATCTGATGGGTTTGCGGGCTCCAGGAAGAATGAACCATCGGGGTCCAAGTCTATAGTGGGAACATCTTGTTCGCAGTCTCTCCGGTGGAATTCAGGCACACAATACTCCGGAGTATTGTTGTCATCGCTGTATGATGGTGGGAGAAGGAGCAAGATGGAGAAGGTGGTGATGATGCACACAAAAGTGGATGAAAAAATGGGTTGGGGAAGCATTTCCATTTGTGGGCTTATGAAGGAAGACTGGAAAGGAATTTCTAGGAGATGATGAGATGGGTTTATTTGTTTACAGTTAAAGAGATATTTACATAAAGCCAAACGGAAGGTCTTGGTCAATGTCATCCCTCCTCGTCTAATAATAATAGTAATATTATAATGTGAAAACTTAAAAGCAACCTAGAATAATAGACTTGACCAAGAAATCAAGAAATAGCGAGCTTCATAGAATTTTCAATGTACAATTATCTTTCTTGTCAGAGGAAGAAAGATAATTATTTGATTAAGAAATTTGACCAAACTCTATGACTACCAAATATGAAACCCCCAAGAAATTGCATCTGCAGAACACAGAAAATACCATTCAAAGTGTAAGGTTTAGTTTGATAATATTATCTAAAATATTTTTAATATATATTTAGAGTATTTTTAAAAATTTATACATTTAATAAATTATTCATTTTTATTTTTTTTAAAGTACAAAAATCATTTTAACTAAAATTAATAGAATTTTTAAATGTTTTAATAAAATTTTTAAATGTTTTCGTACATTATATATATATTAAATTATTAATTAATTTAATTTTAAATAATAATATATTTAATTAAATAATTTTATAATAAATAATTTTGTGAAATATAATTATCAAATGTTAAAATATTTTTTTATTACAGTACAACATAGCACTTGTAACAATTATAATTATAGAACATCACAAGACAGCTTGTCAAATTAAGCCTAACCATCGCAATAGAATCCTGATATTGCCTCAAATTCTGTTTTACAAGCCTATGATACAACCAAAACTCACACTCGAATTAAGTCTGTCTATCTAGTTCGAGAAAAAACATTCGCCAGTTAATATCTTGAACTAGAATTAAAACCCATCAAACTAGGCAAATCTTAGGATTATGAAGGTAAGTTGAGTTTTAAATGTCAAAATTTTGAATTTCCTAAGTTAAAACAGTTCCTTTAGGATGTTTAAGATCAAGAATCATATGGAGGAAAACAATGAAGAGAAATATCTTGTTAATGTGAAAGGAATAAACATGTGTACCAGGTTTGAGACACATTCGAGGGTAAGGTTGGTCAGGGCAGAGGCATAAGAACTCAAGCGATGTGTAATGCCTGATCCACATCTCCCACCTGAGTGTTGGCAGGCAGAACAGTTCATGATGACTGAGGTATACCGTACATCAAACCTTTCATTCATAGCAATAGCCAGAGCCTCATTTCCACTTGACGGCTCTTCAAAAGCCATCTGATTCACAAGAACAGATGTACAGTAGGGGCTAAAAGGTATAAAGATCAGAGCTAAAAATAATAATTTAAGATGGGACAACTTATTTTTTGAGAAACAAGCCTTGATATTTATCAGCATCGACCCGAATTACAAGTTATTGACTCAGACTCTGAAGTTTTGAAACATATTCTATTGAATTCAGTTAGACTGAATTGGGAGGAATAAAGGAAAGAAGAAAAATTTATTTATTT